TTTTTTTTTTTTTTTAAAGGTGACATATCATAGAAATCTGACTTTTTCGGTGTTTAAGTGATATAACCGGGTCCCCCGTGTATCTGCCAGCCCAGAAAATGTAAAAAATAAATAAGAACCCAGTAATTTTTTTGGTAAGCCTTTCTCTGCAAGCTTGCGAAAAACAAGCCGTTCAGATTTCGCTCCCCCCATGGATTTATTTACTGTATGTTACCCTGCTGCCACACAGATCTATTATAAACATATTTCAATATATATAATAATCGTTTATAATAAACATTATAAACGATTTCTTCACAGACATAACCGACTGTTTTTGTAACTTGTGCGTATTTGACAATTTAAGCACAATAAGACATGAAAGAGAACTTAGTTTAGTACTCATATGCTGTGATAGCTGCTTTCTGCGCTCAGAAAACCGTATATAAAACCGTTTGATTCCCACCAAACTGAACATGCATTAACTAATAAAAATGTACGCCTTCATTGCAGTGAAGGCTTCTTCAGATAAAAGCATCTGCCAGATGAATAAATGTAAAATACCCTCAGAGGGTAGCCTAGAAACTGACATAAAATCAGATTGTCAAATAAAATCAAATTAGTCAAACTTGACTAAACATCATAATTGTAATAGACATCTTGTATGCACATTCAACAGTACATCAGTGTCTAGACATGTTCATGACCCCAAATGAGAATAAGGTAATCAAAAGTAACCAGTATTCTGACAACTTCAAAATGAAAATGTGTCAAATTGACCTACAACATTATATAAGGATTAAGAATATAAAGACTCTGGCATAGTGCTTCGTTCAAATGTTCACAACAATGATAAAAATTCATAGACAATTAGTAATTTTGTCAACAGCAAAAGTTTAATATACATGGAAAAACATAAATATGTCACAAAATGTGTTGTGTCAAATATGTGACTTACATTGTTTTGTTATAGCTGGACAACTCAAACAAAACAGATTAACTTGACTAAAAAGAAACAAATAAACTTGAATGTCTCCAGAGAAATCTCCAGAATTCTCTTATGGCCTTAAATTGCTCACTGGAATTTGTATGAATTTACAACTTGTAAAAGGAGTTTTTTTTTTAGCTAAAGCTTTAAATGCTTTGTACAGTGTCAGTAAACCAATCCCATGACTTCATTCAAAGCTATGGGATGAGTGTGACTGGCCTTATTTTCTTCCATCTAGTCCATTTCTGCCGCATCAAGCTCTGTAAGAAACTTCTGGCACTTAGAGATGAGGACATTAATGGCCTCAGTAACCAGGACATCAGCAGGGAGGATCCCCGTGGACTCAACTGAGACTAAAAAAACAACACAGAAGGGAGATTTGACAATGCATTTGGTAAATCATCAAACAAACCTAACTCAATGCTTTTAGTTGCAAACGTACATATGAAATGATCCCGCACTCTGCCCAGTTTCACAAAGTTCTTCAAGTCATCATGCCGAAGAACTTCTCTGCTGCATGTGTCTAAACGGCTGTTGACAACTTTAGCCACCTTCCTTCCTGAAATTCATCATTATTAGATTATAATACAACAACAAAAGTACCAAATATATCAAGACTACATGACTACAGCGAAACAGTCCTACCGTTCACATTCTGTATCTCAATAACTCCTGGTGAGAAGCAGCGCTTTAACCGCTCTGCTTGTTCTCCCTCAATGGTCTGTAATAATGTGATTTCAGGAAGAAGTCTGTAGCTTGCAGTGGCCACAGGAGAAAACTTGGCATGATCTTTGCCTGTGAGGTGCAAAAAAGCTTTCCAGTTAATCACACAGTTATATATATATTTATATATACACACACACACACACACACACATACACACACAGAGGAAACTAGGGACTGGACATTGGAGTTATATTAACTAACTAAAATACATATGGCTCACTGGAAATCAAAGAGCTATTTGGTCAGGGGCCTCTTATATTACTTACCTATTCCTTTGACACAGTGCATGACTATATCAAGTTCCTGCCCTGGTCGAAGTTGTGCCAGGAGAATGTCCCCATGCACAGGACCAATCTTGGCATCTGCAAACACATCGGCTTGGTTTCCAATTGGGAGCCATTTTATGTCACCTGAGTAGACTGAAACCAAACACAAGACTTCAGTGACATACTGTAAACAGGACCGTGATAAACAATGTTTTGCCATGGTTAGTAAATAATATGCATGTTGTTCCAAACTTGTACTTTTTACTGGGAACACAAAATTAGATGGTAGGCAGTCTAAGCCACCTCACCTTTTAATTTCATTGCATCTTTTTTTCCACACAAGGAAAGTGAATGGTGACTGAAACATTAGCATTCTGCCTTACATCTTCTGTATTGCATGTAGGGCTGCACAAATAATTTAAACGAAACGGATTAAGCTATGATATCGTTTAGTGTGCTTATCAAACTGCAAAATCTGTGATTTAATAAGACAGAAGTTTTAGAGAGAAGTGCAGCTCTGCATTAATTTATACGCAAGCAGCTCATGATCCAGCATTTTAGTTCTGAGTTTGGGTCACTTATAACATTTGAGAACACAATATATGGCAACCAACTTCCCAAACCTGTAATGAGAAGTGGTTATAAACAGGTTGTTGTCAACAAATGAGAAGCTTTAAGGACCACCTGCGGTTCTAAACATCGAAAAATTAAGAAATTAAGACTTCAATTAAAAAAATTGTCATTTTAAGTTGTTAAGCAGTATTATCTAGGGCTGCCCCCTAATAGTCAACTAATCGTTAGTTGACCAAAATTGTATTAGTCACAGAAAATAAATAAATAAAATCCACAGGCGAAGTCACGCAGTTCATGACGGATAGATATCATTCATCGACCTCAAATATGGCTTATCATCTGAAATATGTAAGTATTAACAACGTTACATAGCCGCTCAATCTAATGTTTAACCTAGAGAAATGTGCGCTATTCTATGGGAAGCCAAACACACCAAAAGTGGGATGAAACAGCGCGGTATTAAAGCGTTCGCGCTGCGCTGACCTGTCATCGGCGCCAATGCACCGAGCTGCGCGACCGACTCGACAGCGCAGAGAGGACGTGTTTACTAGCGCCAGCGCGGCGCTGATCAGTTACAACAGCACAGCGCGAACGTTACTCTTCTTCTTCTTCTTCATGTTTTATGGCGGGTGGCATCCAACGTTAAGGTGCATTACCGCCACCTACTATGCGAACATTACTCTCCGCAGAAGTTCGTGTTTTTTTCCTGCACATAATATAATGAAGAGTTATTACATTTCTTTTGCTTATTGTCTTTCATATTACTACATGTAAACAGTAGTGTTAGCTACTTTGAAGCATGTATAGCCTATATTTAGTAGTCACGTTCACAGTAAAAACTTCCATTATCCTCTTAGAATTCAAATATTTAATGGTTTCGTTCATCAAGGCATATTTAAGTAAATTTTACATTTAAGGATATTTGTGTAACTGTAGCATATGATTATGCTTGAAGAAAATAAATAAATAAATAATAAAAAAAAAAGAGTAAAATGTACTGATACATTTTCCCTTATGGAAATAAACAATGGTTTTACTATAGTAAAAGTGCAGTAACCATGGATTGATTGTCATTTTTTTTAACCCACAATTAAACAACAAATGTATGGTTAAAACGTTAGTGTAATAAAATCATGGTTAATTTTAATGTGTTTTCCGATAAACCTAAAACACAAAGCAGTGCAAAATTCAAAATACATCATATTGAATTTACATACACTGTCCCTAATTTTT